CTGTAGATGAGTACAAAGAGTTCAAGGGAGAGAGACTGAATTGAGACAGAGTAGAAAAAAGAGACCATCTGTATTATTTGCCTGCTTGCCAGTTCTAAATTGGCAGATCTACACTGCCCTACACCATACCTAACATTCTTTAGTAGATTCAAAAGTCCTACAACTCCATATAGACACTCTGAAAAATTGTTGTAGATAAAACTTTTCACAAGCAGTCCTCTATATACTTACCTGGGAGTAAAATCCATTGAACACAGTAGGACTCGTTTCTGAGCAGATATTTATTTAAAATATTTTCGCCCTACCTTTCTCCTTGAAAAGGACTCTAGGTGGCTTACAACAATGAAAGACAATATTTAAAGTTGAAAACAATGAGTATGTTGTGGTGGTTAACATCATTAAAAGACAATACAGTCATGCCCTGCTTAATGATTGCCCTGTATAATGACAAATCTGCTTCATGACAATGTTTTGCGATCGCAAAACGATGTTTTAATGGGGTTTTTTCCCTTTGCGACGATCGGTTCCCTGCTTCAGGAACCGATTCTTCGCATTAGGATGATCAAAACAGCTGATTGTTGGGTTTTCAAAATGGCCACCGGCTGCTCAAAATGCCCCCCCGCTGTTTGCTCAATTTACAGGCACAGAAAATGGCCGCCATATGGAGGCTCTTCGCTGGACGAGCAGGTATTAAGCCCATTGGAACGCATTGACCGGTTTTCAATGCGTTTCAATGGGCTTTTTTATTTCGCTTGACGTTTTTGCTCCACAGCGATTTCGCTGGAACGAATTAACGTCATCAAGCGAGGCACCACTGTATTTAAAAACTATGAATAATGAATAAGGAGGCATCTTTCATCATTAACAAGCAATACTAAGGCAAAGATCAATAAGTATACACATATTTTTAAAAAATGTCACTCCCAGAAATGGAAAACACTGGTACTAAAAATCCAGTCAAAGCAATAATGCATAGCAATCTATCTAAAAATCATGCACAGGTAGCTGGCTACTGAGGGAAGGCTTGCCTGAAGAGAAAGGTCGTTGCCTGTTTGCAGAAGGACAGCAAAGAGGGGGCCAGTCTGTCCTCTTGCAAAAGTTCCGAAGCTTGGGAGCAGCAACAGAGAAGCCTCTCTCCTCTGTTTCCCCCACCACCACCAAGCGCACCTCTGAGGGTAGTGGACTGAGAGAAAGACCTTTCCTGATGAGCTTAACACCCAAGCTGGTTCATAATGGGAGATATGGTCTTTGAAATAGCTTGGGCCCAGGCCATTTAGGACTTTGGAGGTTAAAACTAGCACTTTAAATTGTGCCAAGTAACTGATATGCAGCAAGTGGAGCTGCTGTAATAAGGGGGTTATGTGATAACTGTAACCAGCCCCAGTCAGAAATCTGGCTGCTGCAGTTTGGAGTCCTTGAAGTTTCCTGACACTTTCCATCAACAGCCCCACATAGAGTGCATGACAGTAATCCAGCCGGGAAGTAACAAGGGCGCATATCACAGTGGCCAGATCAGATCTCTTGAGAAACAAGTGTAGCTGATGTACTAGTTTTAATTGTGCAAATGCACTCCTGGCCACCACCGAGAGCTGGGTATCCAGGTTCAGGGATGAATCCAGGAGCACCCCCAAGTTGCGTACCTGTTTTTTTCCTTGGGAATATAATCTCATGCAGTATCAGCTGCATCCCTATCACTTGATCTCTATTCCTTGATACTGTATATATAGGATTGCAGTAGCAAGCTGTTCTGTGTATAGTAACAGAAAGATCTTCTGCCTCAATGCAACCCATAGCCTCCAAGAACAAACCATGGATTCTGAAATTCGTATAATCATGCAAATTTCTCATTTTGTAGTTTATTTGCAATTTTATACCGCTCTGCATAATTTGTTCTGTTTGATGAGGCTTACTCCAAAGTAAGCAGATGTACAATGAAGCCTTACAATTCCTTAATTCTAGATAGATCTCACCAGAAATTTGAACTGGGTTTTCTCATACCTGACTCTAATCTGCTAGCTACTGTAACATACTTCCTGTAAGGATACAATGGACAGAAGTGTAACAATTTATTATTGCTGTTTAAAAGTACTGTATCCCCACCGTCTTAGCTTTGCATATACTGTATTTTATGGCCAAAGGTTCTAAATGCCTGATGGCCTTTTGGTCTCCATGTTTCACCCTATCCTTCCCTTCAGCCTCTGCTTCAGCATAGATCGTTGCAGACCATGCACTTTGAGCCTCAGCTTGCATTTAGTAGATATAGAAAAATTAAATGTTCTGTGTATATTTAAGAGGCATTCAAATGATTTCTGGTTAAGAATTCTCCACCCTTGACTCACTAATTTTTGCAGCCAATTTTTTTTGGCATCAGTATCCTGTCATTGGAATAAAGACACCATTCCTTATTCATCTTTTCCACTCAAGACAAACAATCCATGGTGTTTGAGGGGTGAGTGAACAGTATACTGTACATGTTGGTAGGTTGAGTGAGGGAAGAAAGGAGAGAAATGCAGATCAATTTAGCTGGGCAGTTTCCAGGTGTGTTATGCTACAAATCTCACAATTTCTGACCACCAGTCGAATTGTGGGGTTTGTGGTGCAAATTATCTGCCAAGTTAAGGAAAGTAACTTAAAAACTGCTCCCCTCCCCCTCAAAAAAGCCTTTTGAATAGGGTTACGTGTTCCCTACAGGGAAATGTCAGCAACCAATATGCCATTCTTTGAAAAAGCTAGGGTTTCTTTGAAACTAATTATTTGATTAACAAATTAATAAATAATGTAATGAATTAAGTCCCCATCTTCCCAATGGTAAAAACAGTGGGTCAATCTCTCCTTCCAAATCTAACAGTCAAACCTTCACTGCCCCTGAAATGATACATCTTTATGAAATGCCATTTCGGAGGTGATGAGAAGGGACACAGCATGCCAAAGGAGTGCTGATTTGGTTTGGTCAGTATAAGCAGTACCCCAGTGTGTATATGCTCAGTAAGCTAGATACATGGCTGAGAAACCAGAGGTCAGGAATCTGATTCCTCACTGAACCTCCTGGGAGAAAAGCCAGCTTGTGTGACTTTGGGCAAGCTACACAATCCCAGGGAACCCTAGAAGAAGGGAATGGTGAACCACTTCTAAGTACTCTCTACCTAGAAATCTCTGGAAAGGGTTGCCGTAAGTCAGAATTGACCTGAGACCACATAATAGGATGATATGCATTCTTATGCTAGATGTGTTGTCTGTGTGCCATCAAATCAATTATGACTTATGGAAACCCCTTCTAGGGTTTTCTAGGTAGAGAATACACAGAAGTGGTTTACCATTTACTGTATTTATTTCTTAGGATATCCTGGTGTTACTCAGGTACTATCCTGAAAACACTTACGTCAAGACTAGAGGTTGGCTATTTGTATCCCTGGGTATATGAATAGCAGCAGCACATGTGCCACAGAAGTCCATTCCTCTACTCACCGCTCAGCTCCGTTGTTGTGCCAATCACAGAAGGAGCCCAGACAGCTCTTCCTCTCCTCCCTGCCAAGCTGACCACTCAACTCATAGGCTGAGTAGGAAGAACCCCCCCCCACCTCTGCACCACACTGGTCAGCTGCGTAGGAAGGCGAGGAAGAGCAGGACGGGCTCCTTCTGTGATTGGCACAGCGGCAGTGACAGAGCCAAGCACTGAATGGTGAGAGGACCAACTAATTCTGGGGGGAGGGAATGGATCTCCATGGCACCTATGGTGCTGCTATTTGTATTCCTATCCTCAGGGATAGGAATATGAATAGCTCATCTTTAGTCAGGAACAGGGGGCTCAAAGGGAGAACAAGCCAGAAAAAAGGACAAGAGGACAACTCAGATGCAGGTTTCTCTGTTGTGTTCAACTTAAATAAATCTTCAGCTTCTAAGCAATAATGCTGTGTTGCATCTAAAGCAGCTTACATGGTTTTTCAACCAATGTTTTCTTTCCTGCTTTTCTTTTTGTATTTATTTTACCTAATCAGCTATAACAATCTGTATTTTTAATTTCTTTTTACATTACCAGGTTATTACAGCTTTATATGTTTTATGACTTTTTCGTCCTATTCATTCATCTCATTTGGTCTTATTGATTCATCTTCATTGGTTACCACCTCAATAAAAGATATCATCCTGTGATAAATCCACCTTTCAAATATTTCTTTCTTGGGGTACCCTATGTTAAACTCCATGATGAGCTGGCACCATACAGCAAAATCAGTAATACACAACACTGTACAATGTCCATTTTCAAAACTATATTTTAAGGTTTATATTACAAATTAGCAACTTAAGTCTTCAACAAGCTGCTTTAGGCTCTCTCTTTTAATTTAGATTGCTTGGCTACGATTCCACTGTTCAACCAAATTCCGAAGTACTTTGTCAACACACTGCACACTTCTATTCTGGATTTTTAAACAGCATTTCTTCAGCAGCTTTTTACAGTTACCATGGACTTGGTTATGAATTTCTCCTGATCCATGAAAAATGGTGTGCACTGCCTCCCCACTCAGTTTACCCACTGTTTTTCTCCCTGGTATTTTAAAAATGGAAACATCAATTATTTCAAGACAACAAAAAGGAAAGAAAATGCAGCACACTTTGAGCCTGCCAAACAAATCTATTGATTACCTTTGTTTATTATGTGTTTTATTTCAGATGGGAGGAAGTCTGAGCTTTGAAGACTGTAATACTAAAATCTACAATAACTGACTCATTTATAAGACTGCAGAGGAACTGATAAATAGAAGCAATGAAACTTTCTGAGATGCAAGTCACCTGCCCTGTTTATTGTGTCCACTCAGAAATTTACACCAATATATCAAGAATACAGTTGGTTATATTAACTTTGTTAAGCTACTTTGAATATGAGCTTACCATAGTACAGCAAAACTACTAACAAACCTACTATGTTATATTCATTCTCTAACATTAATTTTTAGGAGCAAGAGAAATGGCTTTCTCCTTAATGCTACCTTCTCATTGGCTGCATCATGTCATAAGTACTTGACAACTGTCCAGAAGTAATGTTATGGAATGGCATCTTACTAGGGCAGGGATGGGGAGTCTTTGGCTCTCCAACTCTCTTGGATTACAGCATCTGGTCAAACTGCCTGCAATTTCTGAGAGTACCTATCACCAACATTCTGTTGTGCAGCTCCATGTGCTCAATGGGAATCCTGTCATCAACAGCAACAGATTGCCACCAACTGAAGACTTCCCTTTTACATTTCAGGCTGTGCATGGCTCATACAGAATGAGATAAAAGTTGCATGGACTCCGAAATTGAAAAAGAAGACATTAATCAGCTGCAACCTGCCATTGACAATGCCATAATATCCACTGGAACCTATCTAGTAAGAGTTCAGCTACCACCTGGATAGCACAGTAGATTGTGTTGGGATGGAGTCAGAGGATGTAACGCACATTAGCAAAGTGACATTAAGAAACATAATTGTGAGATCTTGGAAAACAAGTTTAGGTTGGGCAGTAGGATACTGAAAATAAACCTCTCCAAGACAGCTGTCTCTGTTCCATGTCGAGAACCAGCTGGGCAGGTATGGTAAAGAGTCTCAGTGTATGGGGGCTGAAAAAGGAAGATTTCAGATTTGTTAGGTCACCAAGGAACATTTAGGACAAGCTGGGTTCAGGGAAAAGCTGACGTCTTATTTGATTTGAAATGTCCCTAAAGAATGAAGATGAAAGTGTTGTTAATTGGAGGCAGGCTGTAAATAGATCATGAGCATATGGTAGAACACATCAGCCAGTGAAAGATGCTTGAGAACCAATGTGGAAAATGCGTAACAACAGAGACATGTAGAGAAGAATACCATGTATGCGTGCTTCTGCCCTTATGGTAGAGGCCTCCAAACAAAAATGAGAGAATTAAGAGTGCTTGGCATTAACGAAGAATGTAAATACAGTAAGTTAAATGGAAACCCAATAGAATGTGGAGAATCAGGGAGATGCGTATCTCCTTATATAAACTTTATGGACAAACCAGGGAAAGGTGTATCAGAGATTATGTATGTCTGTGCCAGAGAGGATAGTATAAATGAAATGAGAAATCTCAATAGGGGATGACTCCTCCATAAGAATTCTGCAGGTGACAATACAAAGCTCTGAAACTGATTTGATATTGGAGACAGGCCTTCACCATCCTGACCAATATGTTAAAAAAAATCTGCACATGGCAAATATTTGAAACTTGGGGAAAATTTTCACATGACAATGCCACAGAATGTCTCCACTGTGAACTTAGCTCTATGTGTATTCTGTAACAAAATGTCCCTCTGGTGGAATGAAATCCCCTGTCTGGATACAAAGCTGAATGACAAAAGCCAGCAGATTACTAGCCAGGTTCATGCTCACTGAACACAGTAAACAGTAAGTTTGGAAAGAAATGCTGGAAGCCACATACAAGAACCAACCATCTCTTTCAGGTTCATTGGAGAAAAAAAAATTAGGAGTTTTAGTTCCCAGTCGAGCCAGCAGGAACCTATATGGACAGTTACAAAATGACTAAAACTACTTTAAAATAGAAGTGATGGTGGGAACGGTGCTATTTCAGCAGTTGCCTCACAATGTTTCCTATGTGTTTAGATTTAGATTGTATAGCAGCCAAAATCTTTACCTTGTTCTGTTCACTTCAATTGGACTAAGATCAATAAGACTTGCAAATTCATGCAGGATTGCACCCATGTTGCCATGCAAAATATTAAAGTCAAAGCCAGCGCTTCCCATGGACACTCAATCTGGCCAGATTGAAAAGAGAAAGCAAATAAACTGATAAATGAAGATTCATGAATGGCAAGAGTTGGTTTTCATGCCAATCTAAATGAACTTGCTGTCCCATCCAAGCCCCTCAGAAAGAGCAGACAGACAACTATCTTAATTTCCAGGTGTTGTTTACTTCTTTAAAAAGAGCATGATTTATAGCAGAGCCAACTATTTTAGTGGACAGCCCATTGGAAGCTTCCACAGTCACAAATAAAGTACTACTCAACGCACAGAAGTGGCCTCCATTTGGTCAATTAGGGAAGCAAGTGTTACCGAAACCATTACTGTGTCAGTCTGGTAAAGCAGTTAACAGTGGCTTCTGTATTAGTTTTCTGGGGGGAAAAAAAAGAATAATAAAAATAATAAAACATTTTTTTTCAAAAGGGGAAAGATCTCAGTCTTACATAAGGGCAGCCACCACTGCTCCAAATAGTTTCCACATAAGTCTGTTCAACAATATTTTTTGAAACCCATGTTTTGCAAAATGTGGCAGTTCCATCATACACCATCCCATGTCTTCCAAGAAAGAGCCATGCATTTTAGAAGTCCCATTATACAAAGTCTGTTATCGCTTCTCCAGTTTTTTGTATTTTGCTTCTGTAGAAGATAAAACATACTATCATTAGTACAAGAACATTTCATGTGGCTCTTTTCAGTTATAAATCCATGCCTAAGTCTCTGTTCTCCTAATTCCCTTGCAAGGAATAAATTGCTTTACTGCACACAGCTGTTTAAGCTATTCTCTTTTCAATCAATCAAATAATATATAATCCGACATTGACAGAAACAGATTGTTTTCCCAGCCATTGGAACTTTCCATTTTTACATGAGCTTCCTTGGCCTTTCAGTTTCATTTATATGAAAAATTACTTTCTGATCAAAAGTATACACACTATTGGGTTCTCCATTTTAGCTGTGGATAAATCAGAGTATTAATTAGGAGGTACTTCTTCCAAAGTGCATTGCAACTAAAGCAACCAACTTGAATAACTGCCAAAATAGAAAATCAACTCAAATTGCAAAAAAAGAAAGAAATTGACTGCACTACCCTTGCTTTTAAGTTCAATCAATAACTACTTTTTGAAAATCCCTTCTGTTTCAAAAGAATACGAGATGCAACTGTTCAAGAAACACAAGTCCACAGATCCCTTGGGCACTGCACAATTATATATCTATTTGGATCCAAGTCACAATGTAACAATAGTCTCAATTTATTTATTTATTTATTTATTTATTTAACTTATATGCTGCCCACACTACCCGAAGGTTTCACGTATATTCTTTTTCCATTATCTGTCTATTTTCACAGACTCAATTCTTCTTGTAATCTCCCATTCCTCTAAAATTTAACAAGCAAGCTTCTTGAATTAGGAACCTATCTTTTAGGTATGTGACCCTATGAATCATCACGTACACCAGTAATTCTATAAATACATCAGTGATATCACAGATATTAATATTTTCCTGTATCCACTGTTTCCAAGTTTAAAGATCTAAATGACCCCAAAGCAAATATTTGACTTTCAGAATGTGTTGTCAACTTAAATAGTAGCTGCTGAACTCTTTCACGCAGACAGGCTTAGTGATAACATATACTGTATAAGGGCTGGTCATACATTGAAAGCAATGTTATTTCTTATGCCACTCCAACAACAGAGGTGAGGTTCTGCCATAAGAAACCGCCATACCTTTAATTCTTTTAAGGAATACCATTACAGCATGGAGTGTTACTATACAGAATCTCTTTTTCAGTGACTTGCACATGGACTAGGTCCTCTCAAACTTTTTTAATGCCTTCAATATTTTTTCCCATGGATACAGCATTTCACCTACAGTGTTCGTTCTGCCTTCTATTTCCCTTAGAATCCACAGTGGGCATCCTGACAATCCGTTTTTTGCAGCATTACCCATAAACAGAGTAAAACCTATCAGCATTCAGGAGCACTAACCCCCTACTCCCACAACTGCCCTATGTGTGAAAAAAAATAGTAATATTAGAGTCCAAAATAAATAAATTTCCCCACAATATTGCAAGTAGCTACCAAGTTTTTTTGAATATGCATCCAGCTTGTAGGCAGCCTGTTCTAGGGCTGCCACCTGCTCTTCAATTAAGTTAATTTGTTCCAGATATGGCTGAAGTCCGGCATCTTGAGAAAGAGGGAAAGAAAAGAGAAACAATCAATGACCATCTATTGATGCACTGAGGGCAAAAACTTCATTTGCGGGGAAACAATGTGGCCTGAATATCTGGTACATTTATAACACTCTCAAAATCACTGAAAAAGTGATAGACATACAAACCTGCCCAATAATGGGGCAGTCCATTGTTAGCTTTTTGTTGTCTACCAGACACCAATGCTATGGTACAGTCACATGAAAAAGAAAGTTTCTGAATTCTATGGTTTTACATATCAAGATGTAATAAAAACCATCTGGTCCTTAGTAGGTCTGAATATTAGGTAAATACAACCCCAGATGAACACACCACATGGCATATTGCACTGTGTAAATTTACCATTTTTTCCGTGTATAAGATGCCCCCATATATAAGATGCCCCCCACTTTTCTAATCCAAAATTAAGAAATCTAAGTGGGGCTTAGCAAGTGTAGGGGGAAAGGGATCAAAGCGCTGCAAGATCGCTTTGATCCCCGCTTTCCCCTCCACTTGTTTTTGTTCTCTCCTCAGCTTACCTCCATGTATAAGACTATCCTCAATTTTTAGTCTAAAGATTTTAGACAAAAGTATAGTCTTATACACAGAAAAATATAGTATTTTACAAAAATAAAGGCAAAAATGGAGAAGCCATGTGTGAAAACCTTTACTGCTTCCATAGGAATTAAGAGACTAAGAAGCATCCAGGTGATGTTAACCAAAGGCCCCTGAGTAACTGATCATTGGCAAGTGTGATCACCTCTATAAAAACTAAAGTTTTAGCAGTTTGTTGGTCTGGATCATTCAGTTATGTGTTAATACGATGCCAAGGAGGAAACAGATCAGCAATGATTGCAGAGAAGCAATTGTTGCCTATCAATCTAAGAAGGGTTAGGAGGCCATTTCCAAATAATTTAAAGTCCATCGTTCTACAGTGAGGAAGATTATTCACAAGCGGAAAATATTCAAGACAGTTGCCAATCTTCCCAGAAGTGTACTTCCAAGCAATTTCGCCCCAAGGTCAGACCATGCAATGCTCAGAAAAATTGCAAAAAACCCCCAAAGAATTACATCTTACACTCTACAAGCCTCAGTTAGCATGTAAAATGTTAAAATTCATGATAGTACAATTTAAAAAAGACTGAACAAGTACAGTTTGTTTGGAAGGGTTGCAAGAACATGACAGCATGGTTTAGGTTTGCAAAGTTGCATATGGATAAGCCACAAGACTTCTGGAACAATATACTTTGGATGGATAAGTCCAAAGTGGAGATGTTTGGCTATAATGCACAGTGCCACATTTGTTGAAAACCAAGCACAGCATATCAGCACAAACAGCTCCTACCAACTGTCAAGCATGGTAATGGAGGGTGATGATTCAGGCTTGATTTGCAGGCACAGGACCTGGGCATCTTTCAGTCACTGAGTCGACCACAAAGTCCTCTGTACACCAAAGTATTCTAGAGTCAAATGTGAGGCCATCTGTCCGACAGCTAAAGCTTGGCCAAAATTGGCTCATGCAATGGAAAAATGATCCCAAGCACACCAGCAAATCTATAACAGAATGGCTCAAAAAAAAATAATCCAGGTGTTACAGTGGCCCAGTCGAAGTCCAGACCTCAACCCAATTGAAATGCCGTGGTGGGACCTTAGAAGAGCTGTGTATAAACAAATGCCCACAAACCTCAATGAACTGAAGCAATGTTGTAAAGAAGAGTGAGCCAAAATTCCTCCACGACAATGTGAGACCAAAAAATCATACAAAAAACAATTACTTCAAGTTATCGCTGTGAGTAGTTCCTACAGGCGATTGAATCATAAGGTACACTTAATTTTTCACACATGGCTTCTCCATTTTGGCTTTATTTTTATAAATAAACCACGACATGGTGTAATATACCATGTGTTGTTGTTCATCTGAGATGGTATTTACCTAATTTTCAGACCTACTAAGGACCGGATGATATTTATTATGGCCTGATATGTAAAACCATAAAATTCAAAGAGGGTGTACTTTCCTTTTCACATGACTACAGGCGTTTCCTAGCCCTGTTGCTCAAAAACTGTGTGACTACAAACACTGAGGACTGAATCCTAGACCATGTGCATCTCAAACCAAGATTCCTTCCCATTACAAAACAAGCAAAATTAGATTTAAAATTTATAAAATACATCAATAACTGTTTTACCACAACTGATGCAACATATTCTAAACAGATGAACAGAGGTACAAGTGTGGTTCCTTGGTCCAAACAAAATCTTTTATGCAATATGCTGGGTTTTTATCAAGCATTTGACACACACATAAATTTTATATTGTTGTTGTTTAGTTGTTCAGTCGTTCAGTCATGTCCAACTCTTCATGACCCCATGGACCAGAACACACCAGGCCCTCCTGTTTTTCACTTCCTCCCGGAGTTGGGTCAAATTATACATGTAATAACATTTGCAAGTTCCACAGTAATCTTAGTTCATCCCAGGCACCCTGTATTGATATAAATAGTTCATGCAATGCACTACTACCCTAGCATAAATTGAAATTGATAACATATTCCCAGCCATGCTGGGTTTATGTGCACCTTCTTAAAAAAGAATCCATTCATATAAAAAACTTCATAACATACTGATATGATTCTTTCTTATTATTACATGACTGATCTTATTAGGTTTTTTTTTGCTTAAGAGAAGAATGAGAGAGGGTGGGAATGGCATACCCAAGGCAGCTTTTCAGTCTAGATTGTTATTGGAAGTTATCACTAAGGATGCGTTACCTAAAATTTTGGACTAAAATCCTGGAAATTTCCATTCTGGGACTTGCACCACACACACCGAAATCTGCCTCCTTTGGAAGAAATGTCTAAGCTTGTAGGGTCTCTGGCATTGCTAGACCTAGCTCTGCCCAACCTTTCCATTCAGAAAGGAAGTCACCTGGTTTCTGAACAGGATGCTTTGGCCGAACTAGGCCTAGCTAGGCCACAAAACCTTCAAGCACAGACCTTTCTCCCAGGTGAACCACATCTAGGCTCTGTATGTAAGTGTCTGTCAGATGGAGATCTCAGAATAACTATTTATGGGACTTCTAGTCCAAAAATTCCATTACACAAATAGTGGCAACACTTAAAATTAATACAAAGCAGCAACTACATACATAACAGGCACTTTCTTTTAAAACAGATGAGGAACCTATGGTCCTCCAGATGTCGCTGGGAATCAAAATCTAAGCTGCCAAAAGCTGACAGGAGGTGGAATTTAACACCCAGGAAGCCACCTGTTCCATACATACTCTTTTAAAAAAATCACCATGTCACTCATAAAGACAGCTTCAATGTCACCACTCAAGAAAGATCACTTCTGAAGCAAACAGAACTCTACTTACATTTCTGATTCAAGTCTTTCAAGTTTCTACTTATGTTTATAGCAATATCTTTCATTTCTAGGTATTTCAGACTAGTAAGTTTGTTCATATTTTCTAACAGCTTGTAGTCTTCACTAGTGGCTAGAAAAAGAAAGAAATAGAATGAGTCAAGAAAAAGACTGCTTCTATTTAAGTTAGTCAATCAGTTATTTGCAGGCCATAATTATAATCACAGTCATATGGATTTGTTATTTGAATTTATGATTCTGGTAATCACCACCAGCAAAAGTGCTTTATTTCACTGTAAACATCTTGAAGCATAAAGCTGTAGTTCATGAATAGCAATTAAACATTGAGGAGTTCTCCAGACAGGCAGCACCACATGAAGCAACTTATCAAAAGTTCCTGCAACACACTAGCAAAGTTATATCTTTATGATGAGAGAAAAATGTAGGTAAAGGACAGAGCAGACCCTGATGAAAATGACCTGGTTTGGAAACTGTTTTTAGAAATGCCTGATTCCAGATGGAAGGTTTTGGCTAGAATACCACTCATTATTATTTATACTTAACTCTCAAAGACATCAGTGGAACTTGTTCCTGAGAAAACATGGACAGAATTTTACTGTGTATTATATATAATGTAGCTTACCTGTTAGTTCCCCTGTTAGGTAAATGGCCATTTTGTTAAACATATCCTTACAAAGTTCATTGATATCTGCCTCTGCTGGTTCCGTAGCTTCTTCTGCTGTTTCAACTGCAGGATCCTCTATTAAGATTTAGAAGTTCAGAAGAGAAAATAAAATATTAGAGGTTTTTAAATGTATATCCAGATTTATCAATGAAATACTTTATATAGAAAATTAATAAACTTATGCCAAGTATGTCTTTAAAAATTCAATTAAATAATGTCTGTAATTAACAGCAATGGGATAATATGACTATTCTGGATTAGGAGACATTTCACAAGTATGGAAACTACTATAAAATGCATGTATATGGAAAACAAGATGATATGTAGTTAAAAATACAAGTTTACATTACTGTATTTTGTTTTGTAAAGCTACTGTCAAAGCTGGAGACAAATAACTTTTTTCCTTATGGGACATATTCACTGAGTAGCTTATTACAATAACCATACCTTGAATACACCACATCCAAGTTACCAAATTAATGAAAAAGAAAACAAAGCTTCCTCAGTGTAGAATACAATCCTACCTCAACTTTAAATAAGTCCAGAAAAGGAGAACAGAAAATAAAGCAGAACTGTTACGTTCGGCAATTCAAAAACTGCTTCTGTTAATGTGACTTAATATTACATTCCCCTTCACGGATTGCTGCCTTGTCCTGGCGAAGGGGCTTAAGTAATTCAGAGAAGCTATGGGCTATGCTAAGGGACATGGTTGCGCTGTGGGCTAAACCGCAGAAGCCTGTGCTGCAGGGTCAGAAGACCAAGCAGTCGTAAGATCGAATCCACGCGACGGAGTGAGCGCCCGTTGCTTGTCCCAGCTCCCGCCAACCTAGCGGTTCGAAAGCATGCAAATGCGAGTAGATAAATAGGTACCATCTCGGTGGGAAGGTAAACAGTGTTCCGTGTCTAAATCACACTGGCCATGTGACCATGGAAAGATTGTCTTCGGACAAACGCTGGCTCTATGGCTTGAAGAGTGGGATGAGCGCCGCCCCTTAGAGTCGGACACGACTGGACAAAAAAAATTGTCAAGGGGAACCTTTACCTTTACCTTTTATGGGCTATGCTGTGCAGGGACACCCAAGACGGACAGATCATAGTGGAGAGTTCTGACTAAATGTGATCCACCTGGAGCAGGAACTGGTAAGCCACTCCAGTATCTCTGCCAAGAAAACTCCATGGACAGAAACAAAAGACTAAAAGATACGACGCTGGAAGACTAGCCCCTCAGGTCAGAAGATGTCCAACATGCTACTGAGGAAGAGGAGAGGACAAGTACAAGTAGCTCCAGAGCTAATGAAGTGGTTGGGCCAAAGCCGAAAGGACACTCAGATGTGGACGTGCCTGGAAGTGAAAGGAAAGTCTGATGCGGCAAAGAAAAATACTGCATAGGAACCTGGAATGTAAGATCTATGAACCTTGATAGGCTGGATGTGGTTCAAACAGGGGATGGAAAAATTAAACATTGACATCCTGGGTGTCAGGGAACTAAAATGGATGGGAATAGGTGAATTCAATTCAGATGATTATCATATCTACTATCGTGGGCAAGAATCCCATAGAAGAAATGGAGTAGCCCTCATAGTCAACAAAAGAGTGGGCAAAGCTGTACTGGGACACAATCTCAAAAATCGTAGAATGATTTCAATACGAATCTAAGGCAGACCTTTCAGCATCACAGTAATCCACGTTTATGCACCAACCACCAATACTGAAGAGGCTGAAAATGACCAATTCTGTGAAGACTTAAAACACCTTCTAGAACTAACATTAAAGAAAGATGTTCTTGTCATTATAGGGGACTGGAATGCTAAAGTAGGGAGTCAAGAGATAAAAGGAACAACAGGGAAGTTTGGCCTGGGAGTTCAAAACGAAGCAGGGCAAAGGCTAATTGAGTTTTGTTAAGAGAACAAGCTGGTCATCATAAACACTCTTTTCCAACAACACAAGAGGCAACTCTACACATGGACATCACCAGATGGGCAACCAAAAACAGATTGATTATGTTCTCCGCAGCCAAACATGGAGAAGCTCTAGACAGTCAGCAAAAACAAGACCTGGAGCTGATTGTGGTTCTGATCATCAGCTTCATATAGCAAAATTCAAGCTTTAAACTGAAAAAAGTAGGAAAAACCAGTGTGCTAGTCAGGCATAGTCTAAACCAAATCCCTTATGAATACACAGTGGAAATGAAGAACAAGAATAATGCATTACATTATAGTTCTAGCTCCTCTTTGCGTATCAGAGAAGTTCCACTCAGCTGAAAGGAATATATGCAAGATCAGTATAACAGAATAAAAAACAAAGTGCTATTCATGGGGAGGCAAACTCCCAATAACTGAATGGCATCAAGAAAGTAAGAAAACAGAACACAGCAGCATACTGTAGGAATAACTGGATTTTGCTAAGCAGCTATTCCCTTTTAAAAATTATTGTAAAATGCTGCACTCCCAGCTCTGTGGGTTAAAGAATGAAGGTGCTACACTAAGAACACTGTCTGTCACCTTTAAGTAATAGCAGAAACACATGTTTTAGCTTGAAGAGGAAACAGTGCAGGAACAGATCTAGAAAACACCAAGCACTCGAGAAAGTAAAGCACAACGGAAAGGTCTCAGCACCTTTCAAGCACCTACTCAAAAGAACTTTTTGCCCTGAGGAAGCTCATCAGGACGTTTTTACTGCGTCTGGAAGTCAAACTCATTCACGATTTGCAAGAACCCGAAAACTCTCATAACTACAGGCGCTGCAGATGTAACTACAAAAGGAACGTTTAGCCGTTCTTCTTCTTTTTCGCGCCCTCAGGAGGAAACGGCGATTTATAGGAGACGACCCCTTAGGACCCCCTTCCTCCAGTACCCCTTCCTTGAAGAGGGCGAAGGGAGGCTTCACTGCCCTGTTTCCAGCGCAGGAGACGGATGCGACGCACGCAGCCCCCACTCTCCCAGAGATTCTCCTTATCATCATCTTACGTTTAACGGTTTGCTGTCGGGCTTCCTCGGGGGCGACAGCAGCAGCAGCCGTGGTCGCCATAACCGACGCCCCTCATACACACGAAGCGAGAACTTCGATACTTCCGCCTTTAACCCCCAAAACATCCGGGTCTATATTCTTGCCCCGCCCACTACCATTTACTGCGCATGTGTGTGGTTAAACGCCCTCGCGTGGAACGGGATTTTTACAACTGTGCTAAACAGCGAGTGGCATTCTCGTGGGAGTCGCGTGCTTTGGCTCGAGCCTCTTTCGGACAGACTGCTTCTTATTTCGCTGCTAGCGTGGGCAGAAACAACATGAGCATATCTGGGAGGAGGGAACAGTGAAAATAAGTTTTAGACCGGCGGGAGGGAATTTGATAGTGGGAGAATTAGGTAACCTTTCCCCGGGTGCAAAATCCATTTGACTCCACCTGCAGTCCTCTATGGACTGACTCCCTAAGCAGTGGTTTCCAACCTGGGGTCCCCAGATGTTCTTGGACTACTCCTAGAAATAAATTATTTTTTATTGATTTTCTCCTTAAAGCCAGTGTCAGAACATATTTCCAGTTTTGCTCTCTGGTTATTCTCTGCCGACAGATCCTGTGAACTCTGATAGAATCTCTGTAGATTTGTATTTTCTAACATGGGAGGCCAAACTCTTTTTACTTTGGAATCTCCAGGGCCAGATCAACTGTGTTCAATAGTATTGAAGGAACTGGCTGAAGAACTCCCAGAACCACTGTTTATTATTTCCTTGAAATCATAGATGATGAACGAATATTTGAAAGGTGGTCATACAAAGGAGGGGCAGGGTTTGGTTTGGATCATCTCAGAGTGCAGGACATGTAACAATAGTCTCAAATTACAGAAAGTCAGATTGTATTTGAATATCAGGGAAAACTTTGTAACTGTTAGAGCAGTATGACAATGGAACCAATTACGCTGGGAGGTAGGTGGTGAGTGCTCCAATACTGGAGGTATTCAAGGGAAAGCTAGACCAGTGGTTCTTAACCTTGGGTTACTCTGGTGTTTTTGGACTGCAACGTCCAGAAGCCTTCACCACTAGCTGTGCTGGCTGGAGTTTCTGGGAGTTGCAGTTCAAAAACACCTGAGTAACCCAAGGTTAAGAACCACTGAGCTAGACAACCATCTGTCAAATATCTATAGATTTGGATTCCTGCACTGAGCACGGGGTTGGACTTGATGGCTTTATAGGCCTCTTCCAACACCATGATTCTATGAACTTTGCAAATGTGGCAGCTTGTGACCATTATCTTTGGTGGTATAGAAGGCTCAGCCGTCATGGGTAGAACCTAGATGACAGTCATTGTTGGGGCAGATGTGGACACAAATAAGTTCTCACACACATATATACTTACATGCAGGGAGGCAGGCAAGCTACCATTCCCATACTATGTGGAAGAAGGAAAGCAAGCATGAGTGGATCTGGCTACTGAGCTGCAGCATATATGTACATATGCTTAGGGGATCATGGGTAGACTGATCCTGGATCCTCTTCAATAGTGGTTCTTAACCTTTGTTACTCAGGTGTTTTTGAACTGCAACTCCCAGAAACCTCAGCCAGCAGATCTGATGGTGAAGGCTTCTGGGAGTTGCAGTCCAAAAACATCTGAGTGACAAAGGTTAAGAACCAGTGCTCTAGAAAAGCACCCTGGTCACATCAGAGGATTTGTTTTCATTCTTATGGGAAAAAATGCTTTGTGGCAAAACTTTGGGGGATGGGGCTCCACCTTGCTTTTGGGTAACATTTTGGGACTTGTCTCACTACTGTTTGCCTGACCTATTGGGAAGAACATATTTGTTAGGTGGCAATACAATTCTATACATACAGTATTTACTCAATAATTCCTGTGACTGGTTTCATTAGTAATTGTTATTATGGGCTGTATAAATTAAGACTCCAGGACACAATTTGAAAACCACCACGTGCTTGGGCAGATCACTGAAGCTTACATAAATACAAGGGACAACTCTGGCATCTTAAAGATTTAGCTTTCATAGTATAATAAGCTTTTGTGAACTGTACTTCATCAGATACTCCTGGTATTATCCCTAAGTCGGCAAGATGGGAGTAGGAAGGAAGTGAGGCTAAACTGCAATCAAATGCAGAAAGCAGAGTCCACAGAAAGGTCAGGCTTAGGATAAACAAAGGGGCCCGTTCACCATACCATCACCTCCGTTCTGTTATGTTAATTAACACCTATAGTACACTGGGAAATCATAGTTATTCGGTAGCTAACTATTTAACTTCTGGATTACTTGAATTTAGCAGAACCAAGAGACAATCTTGTGGCATTCTAGAGCCCCCAAAGTTTTATTTGATGTCAGTGTTCAGGGACTACAGCCCGCAAAAGCTCAGGTATGATTCTCATTGCAATGTTTGTAACAAAAGATTTAAAGTTTAAGGCTGGTTTTGCTTCCACAGGCTGACACGTTCCTCTTCTTAGTTCTAATGTAAAAGTTCACACGGGTGTTCCTCTGACGCTCCCTTTGTTGGCGGAGCGCCGATCACCAGCACGTCGCTTTTGCGTAGCTCTAGGTTCCGCCGCTGGGATAGCGGTAGGGGAAAAAAAAGGCAACCCGGAAACCTTGTCCTCAGCTGAGCTAACAAGCGTCGAGGGCTGGCCTCAGGCTCTCGCGACTCTTTCATTTCCTGCCTCTATGGCTTCGTAGGGCGGGAGCCCAGTTTTCGCGCGAAGAAAGAAGGTCTCGTGATATTTGGAAAGCGCGCGGTTTTGGAGCGAGGCTGGAGGAGAGACAAACGCGGTCGTGCAGTGGAAGCCCGCGGCGAAGGCATGCCGGTCGAAAACAACAGCAGCTGCAGCAGCAGCAGCAGCGACAGTAGCTGCTCCTCCTCAGCCGGGAGCGACGCAGGTGAGGGCAGGAGTACGGAAAAGGGAAAGGGGGGGTAGGCATAAAAAGTTGTCCCGGAACATGTGCAGAGTGCGCGTTCTCTGTTTTGTGAAGGGGGTCCTCCTCCCCCCCCCCACGGAGACCTTCTTTGCGGACAAGTAAGTGTAACCCGGAGATCCGCGAGGAGACAAGAAACAACCCGAGGACTCATAACATTGCGATCCTCGCCGTCGTGGTAGCTACTCCGTTACCTCCGGCAATTGCCCGGAGGACCCACCTGACCCCTCTGCACGGATGGAAGGGGAAAAGAGGCGAGAAGCAATGGCGTGGAGGGTGGTGGTGGTGGTGCTCATAATTAGGAGTATCGGAAAGGGTTAGGGTTGCCCGTGGTCCCGGGTCCTCTTCCTCAGGGCTGGCGTTTACAATAGAAGAACAAGCGGTGGCGAACGGAGTTTCCCAAGCACTCCTAAAGTTATTTAACCTTTGTTTCCCCACCCCCTGTTCTTCGTCCAGGCCAATCATCATCATTTTAGAACTGCAGAGTTATACAATCATCATTTTAGAACTGCAGAGTTATAAAATCATCATTTTAGAACTGCAGTTTTCTGTGTTTTGTTTTTAAGGACTCCTGCCGGCAGGGATGGGTGGTGAGGAGCCCGGCGCCACCGGTGTGATCACAGCTGCGATGCTGCAGGAGGAGGAGCAGCTGGAGGCAGAAGGAAGAGAAGAGGAAAGGCAGATCATGGAGAAGGTGACTCGGTTATTGTTGGGTGTGCTCCTTGAGAGCTGTTTGGAAAACGTTTCGGTTTGGAGAGTGATCTAGGATGACTAATAAATCGTAACTCACAGGGATGATGCAGGACTGAAAGTTATATGTTGCTGTTTTGTGGTACTGATGCTATCCAAACAAAGTGCTCTTTTGTATTTTTTTTTCTTTGAGCTTGCAACTTGAAAGATTTGCTACAAACATTGCAATGGGAACTGTACAGTTTAGTTATCTCTTGCTGCTTTTGGTGAAGCCTTCAGAATCCTTCAGATTGCTTAGGAACATAAGAGCTATAGTATATCTCCTCAAATGCCTATCTTAGTTCAGCATCCTTCCTCCCACAGTAGCAAGTCAGATCCCTATTGGTAGTCTACAACTAAAGCACAAGGGTGGGTAGTTCTGGCTGTTTCCTGCCTGGTACGGTACTGGGGTACTTTTATTAGCATTTTTTTAAAATATAGGCTTCTAAAATTTTAATTAAAGGTTCCAAATTTAGGGGTGACTGCATCTTAGGCTTTCTCTTTCCTTGGATAGAAGGATCCTGAGTCGTGGGCCATATGTTTTGTAGCAACAAGTTGAGGGAAGCTATATCTTTTCTTGCCTAATTTCTCAGCTCACCCAACTACTCCAGAGCTTTTTGTCTCGTTTCTTGATTAGTGAAAGCAGAGGGGTATCGTAATGATTTTTTTAATTTAGGTACTGTTGTTCACTTGGCTTGTGGAAGAAGATACAGTAAATCATTTATCTGCCAGGTTGAAAACATTCCTGTTTCCCTTCTTCCCTTCACTCTTAGTCCAGCTCAGTCATGATACTGAGATTTAAGAAACAGGATGTTTTGTAAGAAGCGGAATTGTCTGTAGAAAGTGGAAAGGCAGAGATCATCCTTAGAAAGGTCAAATTGTAATTGCAGCTCTCTGATAGTTTCATACCATTGATCTTAAGAGCAGGAAGTGGTACCTCCCAGTCTTCTCCTTTGAAATGATTCTGAATAGGCCTGCCTCTGAATAATACTCTTTCTGGTAGCTCTGTCTCAGATGCCCATGCGGCCTGGTTTCTTAAGCATAAATAGCTGGCGGACTCTCCTGCTTTGTTGGATAAGGCAGGGTAGATTCTACAGTTAGATCAAGAATGATCTAGTTTAACTAAGGCAGTAAATCACAAAAAATGATGGGAGTTCACATAAGGTTTTCCAAGGGATTTGGAATTCTTCTGTGTTCCTGGAGAGGTTTGCTCTGGCCATGGCGACACATGCCTTAGTTGTATCCCAGCCGAATTACCGTAACACGTTCTATGTGGGACTATCTATAGAAAGTGTTGGGAAACTTCAATGGATCCAAAACACAGATCAAATTGCTAACTGGGGCTGACCGCAAGGATCACATCACTACCACCACCGCCCTGTTACAGCAGCTCCACTGGCAGTTCATCAATTTCAAGGCACAGTTCAAAGTGCTGGTTCTAATCTATAAAGCCCTAATCAGCTTAGATCCAAGCTATTTAAAAGACTGCATCTCTTTCTATGATCCTGTCCAGGAATTAAGACCATCCAGGGAGGTCTTTCTCTCAGTCCTGCCACCTTCACAGGTGCATTTGGTGGAGACGCTGGGGTAGGCCTTCTGTGTTACGACTCCTAAATTTGGGAACTCCCTCCCACAGGAGGCCAGGCTGGCCCTATTTTTGCTGTCCTTCCACACAGGAAAAGACGTCTCTTTAGGGAAACTTTCCCTTAGTGACTGGTTGCCTTTTGGGGGGAGGGTTAAGTGGATTGTTGTGTCTTATTGCTTTGAATATGTTTTTGTTTACCACTTTTTAGTGTGGGTAAACTAACACTAATGTTTATGTGCCATCTTATCCAAGTACTCATATCAAATCTGTTTAATTAATCTATTAATGACGTATTCTAAATTAATTTGGTTACCCCCATTCTTGCCTCACCTTATGTTGCTGTTTGCTTGTTTTTTAATCACACATGTACACGTTAAACACTCATGTTATTTGTTGCATAATAAAAGCCTTTTTTTAAAAAAAGGCTCAGCAGTTAAGAGTATGCATATCAGTCAAAAGTACGCATAATCTACTTAGTGTTTGGTCCAAATCCTCAGGCCACAAAATTAGAAACTGAGCCCATTGCTTAAAACTTGGAATACTAGCAACAGTTGTGGTATAAAGTTTGTTGTGGATGTCAGCACTATAATCCATTTGTAAAACTATAATTGGAGGTCCCAACTGGATGCATTTCCAGCCTGGATTTATTTATTTTATTTATTTATTTATTGGACTTATATACCGCCCCATAGCGCTACAAGCACTCTCCGGGCGGTTTACAATTTAATTATACAGGCTACACATTGCCCCCCCAGCAAGCTGGGTACTCATTTTACCGACCTCGGAAGGATGGAAGGCTGAGTCAACCTTGAGCCGGCTACCTGGGATTTGAACCCCAGGTCGTGAGCACAGTTTTTTAGCTGCAGTACAGCGTTTGTGAAGTAAACTTTCTTTGACACCATCACTGTCACATGGTAGGCACATTACTGCACAGTAATATGCATTAGTGTACTCATGTAACAGAAGTCTTTTCCTGTGTGGAAGGATAGCTTTGCTGGAAATGTGATGTTTCCAGGAAACTAGGAAGTGTAGTTGTAACTGTATGCTCCTAATGGCAATCAACACATTTCCAGTGGTTGGAGAAAACTTTTGAGTTAAATTATTATTTTGCTGTTGGATTAAGCAGATGGTCTAAAAAGATGGTTGCAATAGCATAACCAGATACTGCTGACATTTATAGGCAATTGCTGTTTCATTGTCTTGTAGGCTCGCATGTCCTGGGACAGAGATTCAAGTGAAATGCGTTACAAGAGGCTTCAACACTTGCTTGAAAAAAGCAATATCTACTCAAAATTCTTGCTGACCAAAATGGAACAGCAGCAATTGGAGGTAAATGAAAAACTAAAGACAAAGCATCTGACACAGCATGTTCCAAGAAATATTTGTATGCACAGAATCTCTGTCTAGTTATCTGTTATTGTGGTTGTAAAAACTGGTGTGAAATGTCCCATTTTATTCTTTTGAGTTCATAACAGAGGTTTAGCCTAATAATTAAAGTTAGAGATGATTTTACCCAAGTATCAGTATGTTAGGAATTATTTTTTAACCTATCTGCACCTATTAATGTTAGTTGTTTGTGACTTTAGTTACCTATTGGAAGTTTCTATACTGCTTTTATTGTTTACAAACAAATCCTCAAGCCATAAAATTAGAAACTGAGACCATTGCTTAAAACTTGGAATACTGGCAACAGTTGTGGTATAAAGTTTGTTGTGGATGTCAGCACTATAATCCATTTGTAAAACTATCATTGGAGGTCCCAACTGTATGCATTTCCAGCCTGGATTGGACCATTAATTCACAGAAGATGCAATGGCGGTGATGTAAACTTTCTTTGACACCATCACTGTCACGTGGTAGGCACATTACTGCACAGTAATATGTATTAGTATACTCATTTGTGTTCAGTCATACTCAGTTTAGCAGATATACACTAGTGCTCTAGCTATAATTTAATTTGTTTAATTGCTTAGTATTGTGAATCCACATGTCCTAGAATGATTTACCAAAAGCTTTTGCCTTCTCTTTAAGCCTTCTGCTTTTCATTTTGTGTTATGTCTTTCTCTTTTATATGAGCTAGTCTTTTTCTGCCTACCTGCCATCTAATTGATAATATTTTGAAACATCTGGCCTGCCCATGCCCCATTTAAACTAGCCACTTTCAGATGCCTACTAGCCAGTTCTGCTCCCACATTTGGATTTTCTATTCCGATTGACTCCCAGCTCTGTGGTTTCTGAGCCTCCTCAGTCTGTATTGGGGTGGTTTGGGGTCAGATTTCTTTTATCCCATTTATATTGAATTATTAGAAATGTTCATGCTTCTATAAATCTGTGGTTGCCCAAAGCATAATGATTTCTTTTCATTTCCCACGTCCTATTTTTACAAAGCCTTCAGGACTCTGAACTGAGTTTAATGTTTGTTTGTTTATTTATTTATTTAATTTATATGCCGCCCACTCTACCCAAAGGTCTCTGGGCAGCTTACAACAATGTTGGAAGATATTGTGCTTTAAAAACTGCAAGTGTTGAGAACCATCTTCCTTTCAAAAGCCTCATGTAGCAAACATCTAAGAGAAAAGTATGTTTCTTCTAGCTTTGGAAATAACTATTTTTATGATTATGTAAGCATATGCAGGTATATGGTTGTTGTAGGTTTTTCAGGCTGTTTGGCGTGTTCCGGAGGTTTTTCTTCCTAATGTTTCTCCAGACTCTGTGGCTGGCATCTTCAGAGGACAGGAGCTAGAACTCTGTCTGTGTTCTGGTGAGAATACATACGCAAGTATAATTTGTATCAGTGGATTAAAACTCATGATAATGGCTACTTTAATTGCATTGCAGCCATTAATTAAACTGTTTTCATCAGATACTGAAGCCCAGAAACGGACTGAAAAACATATTTCATACACTTTCCCACATAGTTGAAAATGATGGCCTTGGGTCATTCTAACAAATGGCAGTTAGCAGTGGTGTGTTGTCTTGATTTCCAGAGTCAGGAAATTGAGACGGCAGCTTTGCTGGAAATGTGATATTTCCAGGAAACTAGGAAGTGTAGTTGTAGCTGTATGCTCCTAATGGCAATCAACACATTTCCAGTGGTTGGAGAAAACTTTTGAGTTAAATTATTATTTTGCTGTTGGATTAAGCAGATGGTCTAAAAAGATGGTTGCAATAGCATAACCAGATACTGCTGACATTTATAGGCAATTGCTGTTTCTTTGTCTTGTAGGCTCGCATGTCCTGGGACAGAGATTCAAGTGAAATGCGTTACAAGAGGCTTCAACACTTGCTTGAAAAAAGCAATATCTACTCAAAATTCTTGCTGACCAAAATGGAACAGCAGCAATTGGAGGTAAATGAAAAACTAAAGACAAAGCATCTGACACAGCATGTTCCAAGAAATATTTGTATGCACAGAATCTCTGTCTAGTTATCTGTTATTGTGGTTGTAAAAACTGGTGTGAAATGTCCCATTTTATTCTTTTGAGTTCATAACAGAGGTTTAGCCTAATAACTAAAGTTAGAGATGATTTTACCCAAGTATCAGTATGTTAGGAATTGTTATTTTTTAACCTAATGGAAGTTTCTATACTGCTTTTATTGTTTACAAATAATAATTCAGGATAGCTTGAAGCAACAGAGTAGCAGAAGAAAAAACAGCTTATAGTTAATAGAAACTTTAAAAAAACCAGTCCAGAGGGCCCCATCACTGAGAAAAGAAACACACCCTTTCTTCAGTTGCCACTCACCTCAGATCATGGGAAAACCTGTAGAATGTCTTAATTGCTATAAAAGCATTTAGCTGTGGTGGAGGAATGGCACACAAAATGAATGTTGGAAAGCCATTGAATGGCAAGTGCTCCCAACTTGACAGACTTCAATCCAGTTTTTTTCCTAATCCAGGATCATCCACAGAGTTACAGGGAAATGGCTGGTCCCGCTCCTCCCTTGTTGCTTTGTTCATGTAAGCAGCAATGGAGAGGTTTTTTGCTCACTTGCGTGGTCCACACAGGGGCAAGCACTTAAAAATTGGGGGGTTTGCTTGTGTGCAGAGCCTATGAGTGAACAGGGGACGGATTTAGCCATTTGCTTGTTATCCTGTTGATGATCTTGCCTTAGAGAATGACTGAATAGGGCTTATGTCTGAACATAAAATATTCATGCAGAGGTGCCCAGACTTTTGTTTTCTTACTATTATGAACTTGAATCACTGTACATTTTCAACTTCATTGTGCTATGTACTTTAGCCTCTGTGTGAGGTATTTTTCTTGATAAACAGAAACTTGTACAGTATTCTTTTTTTTAAAGGAGCAACAAAAGAAAGAAAAACTAGAAAAAAAGAAAGGAACATCAGATATTTCAAAGGTAAATTAGACTTGGAAGATTAGATTAATGTTGAATGAACCATCAAGGCAAAAAATGTTCACTTGACTTTGCTCAGATATGTGGTCCACACAGGGGCAAGCACTTAAAAATTGGGGGGTTTGCTTGCGTGCAGAGCCTATGAGTGAACAGGGGACGGATTTAGCCATTTGCTTGTTATCCTGTTGATGATCTTGCCTTAGAGAATGACTGAATAGGGCTTATGTCTGAACATAAAATATTCATGCAGAGGTGCCCAGACTTTTGTTTTCTTACTATTATGAACTTGAATCCCTGTACGTTTTCAACTTCATTGTGCTATGTACTTTAGCCTCTGTGTGAGGTATTTTTCTTGATAAACAGAAACTTGTACAGTATTCTTTTTTTTAAAGGAGCAACAAAAGAAAGAAAAACTAGAAAAAAAGAAAGGAACATCAGATATTTCAAAGGTAAATTAGACTTGGAAGATTAGATTAATGTTGAATGAACCATCAGGGCAAAAAATGTTCACTTGACTTTGCTCAGATATGCAACACTGCAGCTTAATTTTCCTTGGTTGCAATCTGAATTCCTATGTATGAATGGAAAATATTTCCGCATATGCCTTGGCCCATGTTGATATTTTGTCCAGCCTGTTGCATGGGGGGGATGCGGGGGTCTGTGCAGACGGGCGGGTAGGGGGTGCATGCATTTGTGCGGGTGGGCATCCATCCATGCGGGTGGGCGGGAGCGTGTTCATGCATGCGCGTACACGCATGCTCCTTCGGCCCTCAAAAATATTGTAAATGTATTATGTGGCCTTCCATGTGAAAAATTTGGAGATCTCTGAGTTACAGATTAGATTACCACAACATGTTTTATCTTTTTAAGGAGAGCTAGAAAAAAACAGCTAGCATTGAATATAGTAGCCATTCTTTTGACAGATGTGGAATGATATTCCTGCATGTCACTAGTTTTGAGCCAACTGCATTTTCCACCAGTTTCTTTCTAGGCTGGCATTTGCTTTTTTAAATGCTCTGTGGCTTGGGTCCTGATGATGTTAAAGAATGTTTCCATACACATATATTTCACCCTATTCCCAACCTTTAGGATTTTTTAAAATGTCAATTAGCAGGACATTTTCAGTAACAATCTAAGTACTCTGGAACACTTCCGTGAACAATATGGGGTACACCTACTGTATTCAATTCCTTACGTTTTTCTGAAGATATTTACACACAAAATCCTTACACATTTCCTAAATTCCAGGAAGCTTTTTGGACATTGTTAATTAGAATATGTGGGCAGCTTCAGTAGGAAAAAAATGGTTTTGTTTGTTTCCAGATTTTGTAGTTGGTTTATTTTTCTCTTGTAATTTTTGATCTCTCTTCTGCTTTACAGATGTGTTGGTTTTATTTGTGAGACACTGTAATGCTGTGGTTGACTAGCACCATTTATAGTATTTAAAGTGCTTACTCAAGTTCCTTTATGTAACTTTGATATGAGTTTAGGCATGCTGTAACTTCTAAGTATGGCCTAAATCCAATTACTAGTCCAAACTAGATTAGGCCTGTTGGAATCAGTTGCTGAATGGTAAATCATTTTACTTTCCTGTTGATTTCATGGGCCTGTTCTAGTTGGGACTAGCAGTTTGATTTAGTTCGAAGACAGTCAAGCTTTCTTTAAAAAAAATGCTGTTTAAGGAAATGTTTGTGGACGGGGTTTTAAAAAAATAATTTTCAGAGACGTTATAGGTGAAATGGTTGTGTTCATTTTTTCCTGAGAGCCAGTGTGGTGTAGTGGTTAGAAAGATGGACTGAGATTCAGGAAACCTAGGTTTAAGTACCTGCTCAGCCATGGAAATTCACTGGGAAGGGGTTTGGCAATGATAAAACCACTCCTTAATATCTCCCATATGTTGAGAACCCTTTTGGGTTCACTATAAATCAAATGCAGCTTGATAGCACGTAAAATAACCTAAGTTGTCCCTAGTAATAATTTAAATTGTCATTATTCTGAGAGAGATAAATAAGCATGTTATTTTTTCTTCCAAATACTTCGCTTTTTAGAATGAAAAACTGTCTGGAGGCAAGTTGGGTAAGTCATATGAAATACTAAGTATTAACCTACTTTTTTATTTTATCTAATAAGTTCAGTTGTTGAAGCCTATATAATGTTTTGTTGCAGTTGCGAAAAGAAAGAGGACCAGAGAAGACAGAACATACAATATCTCTGAAGTCATGTCAAAAGAGGTAAATCGATGCAGGCCCTCCCAGCACTCCTCCTGGGCAGGAACTTCACTCGCGTTACCTGCTGAGTTTCATTTTTAAATAGTTTCAGTTTCAGTTTCTTCTGATACACTTTTTGGCACATATTGTGGATACTGAAGCTCTGTTCCACCTTCATAAACCGGAGGTTTTTAAAATAATGGAATATTAGTAGAAGATACTGTGCTTGGTACTTTCTAAGCTGTCACACTGCTCACTGAGGGGAATTTATTTTTGTTAAAGCATAATAATCATGCACATGATCTACTTTTTATCAGAGTTTGTACCTGTGCCTGAAGGAGCCTTTAAAAGCCCCATTTTTCCTCTTCCTTGGGGATGTATATGAACAAATCATAAATGTATGTGCTCTCTTCTGCTCTTTATATGTTTTTCTTTTGATGTATTTTTATCTAAAAGTCTGTGACTTTTAAGTTGCTAAATTCATTTAAAATTCTAAACAAGTAATTCCATTTTTGAACTTTCTTTTTTATTAGGAAATCTTGTCAGCAGCTAAAAAAACCAAAGTTGAAAATGATCAGGTACGTCAGCTGTATTGAAATCTCATTAGTAAATTTGGGTTGCGTGGGAAATCATGTACTTCAGGTTATCACCAACTGTAATCTTACTTAAGAATACTGTATGGAAATATTTTTTGGACAACTGCAAAGATTGTTATTTTTTTATGACAAGTTTTTATACGTAGATATATGTATTAATTTGTATTGAAATAAAGCTATTGAACATGGAAATAAAACTCTTTATCTTCCTCGTTTCACTCCTAATCAAAATATGAATTATTTAATGTAGAATATGATTTTACTTACCCAATTGTTAAAAGCCTAGCTTATGGGATAGGCTCACATTAAAATGGTCCTCATCCTGGGTATGTCTAAAAGTAAATCTTTTAATTTGTCAAAAGTGGACTTAATCCATTCAATCTCTTAAGGTGCCAGAAGGTTTTTGTCTTTTTTCTATTTATCCTTTTCCCCCCTTTGGATTTTGCTTGATATGCCTGCACAGTCTAACACAGTTGTCACTTCTAAAACCACAGATTAATCTGTTGTGGCACCTTAAAAAACAAATACATATATTGTGACATAATGCTAAAATTTTAAATAATTTAAGATACAACAAGAGAGCTTTTAAAATAGTGTCTTAGTAGCCATCCTGTTTAGAACTGAGACCCTGCATCAGCAAGGAGAATCTGTGACATTAGCTTTCCTATTACGCGTTACACTCCTAGAACAAGTTTTAAGAGTACAGTGCAAGGGTGCTATTGCTTTCCAATAGTACAAAGTCAGATTACTTGTAGCAGTACGTAATTGTTGCCTGTGCAGTATAATGATCTGATGAAGTGTACCGTATTTTTTTTTGTATAAGACTATACTTTTATCTAAAATCTTTAGACTAAAAATTGAGGGTTGTCTTATACATGGAAGTAAGCTGAGGAGAGTACAAAAACAAGTGGAGGGGAAAGCAGGGATCAAATTGTTCCTGCAGGGCTTTGATCCCTGCTTTCCCCTCCACTTGCTAATCCTTAGCAAAAGGAAATCGTGGATCAAAGCGCTGCAGGATCGCTTTGATCCCTGCTTTCCCCTCTGCTAAGTCCCATGGGAGGGGGTAAAAATCAAAGCAATCCCGTGGCTGTATAAGGGGGAATGGGATAAAAACAATCATACAGTTGTGGGATTGCTTTGATTCCTTTCCCCCTCCTTTTGCTAAGTCCTGCAGGGCTTAGCATGAAGGGAGAAAGCAGGGATCAAAGCTATCCTGCAGCGCTTTGATCTTTTTCCCCTATACTTGCTAAGCCTCACTTAGATTTCTTAATTTTGGGTGAGAAATGTAGGGGCGTCTTATACACGGAAAAATACAGTATGTTGTACTTTCTTTAGGTTATCTGCTTCCATAATTTTGATAGAGTTGTGTGTGTGTTTTTAACACCTCACCTACCAATGCCTTTCTTAGGCTTAACCAGGGATGTTGGCAAGTCTTTGGGCCCAAGTCCAAGTCTTGAGTTGTTCCCCCCCCCCTTGAACTGCATATGCACTGCTCAGCTGATAGGCTGGTAAATGCTCAGAGATAGCAGACCTGGAAGAGAAGCCAGGGAGGTGTGCGCATGTGCAGAGATAGTGGGCCGACTTCCCTTCCTGAAGCCAGTCCCTGCCTCTGCAGATGTGCCAGCCTATCAGCTGGGCAGCAGGTGTGTAGGCGGAGGCAGCAGCTCAGCTCCTGAAAGGGAAACTGGGCCTCCTGCCTCTGAGGATGATGGCAGTGCCAGCAGGTAGGGGAGGCCCATTCCTAACAGAGACTCGAACACAACTTGGAGAAACTGTTCTGAGTCAGAAACTCATATCTGAGTCATGTGGTTGGTGTGACTTAAGTCAGACTCGACAGCAAGACAGTTGCAATTTGCAAGTCCCCATCCCTGGGCTGAACTATCAGCAGTAAAGTTGCTTGAAGAAATGAGTGCCAACTTTTAAGTCCTGCTAAACATACTTATGAAACAATTGGTTGTCTCTATAACCTTTCTCTTGTAGATAGAAAGCTCTTCCCTGAAACTCAGTCCAGAAGAACTCCAGAACAATGAGGATTCAAACAGCATTATTAAGGACAGACTGGCTCAGGCAGTGCGCCACAGCGCTAAGCACTTTGTTGACCCAGTACGAACATTTAACGGACAGCCCGTACCTTTTCATCAGCCAAAGCTCTTCACTGGAGGTGTCATGAGGTGGTACCAAGTTGAAGGCATGGAATGGCTCAAGGTATGAATTTTTATTTTACCCAAATAAAACAGTAAATGATGCTGGTGTCATTTACTGTTGGTGTTCCCAGTTGACTGGCCACTGGATGCTGTTTCCTGCTGCTGGCAAATACACATGGCAGTGACCCCAGAATGGTACTATCTGGATGGGTAGTGCAATATGGTCTAGCAGTCTTTATGTCATAAACTCATAATCTTTTTTTGCCTGCTGCTTGCCTCCTATTGACAGAGTACTGTGGCCCGAATCAGAACTGGTACAGAACAATGGCCAAGGTATCTGAAATGGCTTCATGTGATGCTCATGTTGACTGTAGTTAATGTCTGTTTCATTTCCAGTGGCCACTGCATGCAGAGATTTGGATATTTAGTAAAGAGAAGCATCATGCCAATAATTATCACTCATAGTTTGCCTGTACATTTTGAAACTCAGGTTATTAATATTGATCATAATATCCATCAAGTACTTCTTGAAAATAGGACATCTATATTCAGATAAACATTGAATGAGCAATGAGTGAAGAGTTGAATATATATTTTAAGCCAGGATTCAGATTTTATTGGGCATCCATTAAACATGTATTCATAAAGCATCTCTTGGAAATAGAAATTGGGCCATCTCAGATTAAAAATTAGCTCCATGTGACTGAAATTTCTTTCTGAGGAAGTTCAGTTTGGTTCCAATCCTACTGATCTTTAAATATGCTGAAAAGCTATTTATTTATCAGTTCATTGATGACCAGTAGTGGATCTTATTATTGCATGAGTTGTTTTGTATGTTTTATTTGCCTTCATTTGTGGCAATTTTACTTTTTTAAAATAATGTACAGTATTGCTTTAAGGGCTCCATTGGGTGGGGAAATTATTCCATAAATATTCTTAATAAATAAACAGTAATTTTGTTTTTTTGCAGATGCTCTGGGAGAATGGCATTAACGGCATTTTGGCTGATGAGATGGGCTTAGGAAAAACAATCCAGTGTATTGCAACGGTAGCTTTGATGATAGAGAGAGGGGTTTCTGGGCCGTTCCTGGTTTGTGGGCCTCTGTCTACACTTCCTAACTGGATGGCAGAATTCAGAAGGTTCACTCCTGAGGTAAAGGATCTTTAAAAATAACAAAACAAATTCAGTGGAACAATGACATCCAGCGATGATGGCAGACACTTGTCCTGGTTACATGTATATTCCAAGAGCCCTTCCCCCGAGCTGGAATAAATAAAAGAAGGATGATATTTTTAATAATACTGTAATAAAAAAGAAATTAAATGATACCAGTGTTATAAGTTGTATCGGCAGGGTCAATACACGCTGCCTACTTAAAAGGCAGTGCCCCACAGTCATTTATACCAAGAATCTAATATAAGAAGGGTGAGCAACTTCCGTGGGGCTGTGGGCCAATTTTCAGGATGGCTCTACACTTAAACAGAAGTGAGCAAAGTACAGTAGAATACCCTGTTATATTTTATTATGGTAATTCTGGCTATTTTAGAAATAAAAAATTCTGTGCAAATACCTTTAGACTTAATTATAATATGATTAATTTGAATTCATTAAATATTATTTCATCATGTTCCCCAAGTCAACTGAGGTGTAGTTAAATATGTATTAACATTAATAAAAGGTATTATTGATTATAGACTGGATTTAATTAATTACAATGCAATTTAAAATCAGTTGCGCAAATCATACACTTCCAATTTGTTTATTGTAGTAGAATCAGCAGCAGTAGCAACAAGCTGCAAAAGTGAGGAAGAGGCTTGGAAGTTGCAGTTTTCTTTAAATAAATAGATTAAAACTTTAAAGCTTGAATTGAACAAGGTTTAAGGAAGGGGAGTACTGTAATGTAAGGTGTCTGCTTTAAAGACTAGCAACAAGCTTACAAGTAATCCTTGTTTACTTGAGTGTTATAGTCTAGTAGTGTGACAGTGAATTCTAAGGGCAAATTGTGATGTCATTTTTTAAAAATAAAATATTTGGGGGAGGTTTGGGGTGCTAACATGTGTGCTATGCTTTGCTCTAGTATCTGGGGACACCATTTTTCCTAAGTAGAAATAATATCCTTTGCCTAACTCAAGAGCAAAAAGAGAGATGGTAGGGAGTGTGGGACTGGATCTGCATGTGTGTGCAGTGAAGGGATTGTAACCCCTGTGTCACTAGAAAGTCTGCAGAATCTGACAAGCACTTCCTATTGATGAGGAAGGAAGTAGAAAATACAAAGCTTTTCCTTATTTGTTGTTCATTCAAGGCACGCTGACAGTGGCATTCTGCCCAAGGGTTCAGGCAGTGTTTGTTTCAGAATTTTGGGAGATTGAATGTTCCCTTCAACATCACATGAAGCTACTCTTGTACTACTGTGTGGGAATAGTCAGTAAGAACTAGCATTAATTTTTGGTCCTTATTTGAAGATCCCAAACATAGTAAAAATATGGCTTAGTTTGATTATATAGCATATTAAAGAAAATAACCTCTGAGGCTTGCTTGTCCCTTTGCAGTTTTGAATTAGGTGGGAGGAAATGTTTCACTTGCTAGTCTGGATGTAAAACATGATTAATGCAAATCCTTTTCAAACTATATTTTCTCATGTCTTCGTTTGATCACCTAACAGTAGCTGCTTGGTGAATTAATGATAAATGGGAAAATGGATTGAGTGACTTTTTTGGCATAGTTCTGGGTTAGCTTTGCATACATTTTTAATTATGCATACTTTAAAAAATGATTTCAGATTCCTATAATGCTGTACCATGGGACCCAGCAAGAACGGCGTACGTTGGTTCATAAAATTCGAAGGAAAGAAGGCTCACTGAATATTCAGCCGGTCGTCATCACCTCTTTTGAAATAGCCATGAGAGACAGAAATTCCCTTCAGGTGTGAATCTGAAATGGTGCTTTACATAAAACCATATGTGAATACGGATAAGTATGGGCATTTCTAAAAAGCTGCATCAGAAAGCCATTCAGAATCAAACATTTGCAATGGGGAGGAACCTTATCATTGTCGTGGTGCCTCAATAAGAGGCCCTTGCAATTACTTCTAAGTAGTTAAACTGAATTTTTTTTGTCCAAAAATAATCAGTTGCTAGTAATCAGTAATCAAAACCATCTCCTTGATAGTTACGCAGTACTGCTTTCATATGAGTTGAAAGCTTGCATACATTTTGCTCAGGATTTATCCCTTTACCTTTACAATGACTATTTATAGTGATAATATTCAACTTTTGTTAAGTTGCACAAAGAAATGATTCCCAGAAATCTGTCATTCCTTGTCTAGGAACTGACTTTTCAGAAAAAAGTAAAGCAGATGAAGCTCTGGCAAAAGGCAAAGAGGTTCTATTCCAGATACTTCCAGACTGAGAGCTTGCTGGGAACCCTCAAAAAGCATAGTGCTGCAATTCTTCCCCCCCCTTTTTTTTCCTGAACTGATTTTATTCTGATAAGAAAAGAGGATAGGAAAACAGGACTGTAAATTAAAAATGTCATTTGTCATTTGGGCCTCTTACAAAAGTGCACTCCATTGTGCACTTGGAGTCAACATGTCAAGTAGTCTGTATACTGATTTCTCTGTTTGGAGGTGTGAAGGGAACCTTGGCCAATTTGCTTGTTTACAGGGTAGCAGTGTGATGGGCTGGGTGGTGTATGTAGTGAACCTGTGCAGGAGCTTGAAGGAGGAGGGAGGGTGGAGGAATGAAAAAGGAAAGAGGAGCCCAGAAGTTTGTGAGAAAGAAGAAGAAAAAATGATGAAAAGTGGGTTTATAGAATTAAGCAAATGTTAAAACTAGGGAGAAAGATAAGGAACTTGTGGGTATGAATTAATTGGTTGTTGTAACTGAAGAAGAAGGCATTTCTCTTGGAGACAGTGTGCCATGTTAGAAGGCTGTATTAATATTTTTCCTGCGCCTCAAAGAGGCTGAAAACTTTAAATTGCCCCCACTAAGGTGGAGATATGATAGCACTTTTGAAATACTTGAAAAGTGGCCACAGAAGAGGGGCAGGATGTGTTCCAGATCATCCCAGAGTGCATAACATGTAATAGTGGGCTCAAGCTACGAAAAGCCAGGTTTAGGCTGAATATCAGGAAAAACCTCTTAACTGTTAAAGCAGCATGACAGTAGAATTGGTTACCTCGGGAGGTGGTGAGCATTACAGTGTTGGAGGCATTCAAGAGAAAACTGGATAACCATCTATCGGATGTCCTTTGATTTGGATTCCTGCATTGACTTGATGGCCTATACACCCCTTCCAAATCAAATTAGTCTAATATTCTATTTATGGTAGGATGTATTGGTGGGTTTCTGGTTTTTGTTTTTTAAAACATGTTGAATCTTCTTCTTTCCAGAACTTCTACTGGAAATACTTAATTGTAGATGAAGGGCACAGGATTAAAAATATGAACTGTCGTCTGATTCAAGAATTAAAACGATTTAGCACCGATAATAAACTTCTATTAACTGGAACTCCCTTGCAAAACAACCTATCGGAGCTTTGGTCTCTGCTTAATTTCCTGCTCCCTGATGTGTTTGATGACTTAAAAAGGTAGGTAGAGATCAGGGGGGTTTTTTTGTACCAGGTTCTGTGTCCACATAATTGGCCTTGGTGAATGTTGCCAGCATTCTTGCATAAGGTTTAAGTCCCAAACAGCCGTTAAACATCTGAAAACATGCGTCTTTTGAGGAGATGTTTGGGCATTCTTGCCTAGCTTGCTGCTCTTGTTCTCTTGAGTGGGCAGGGCTCTATGGCTAGAAGACTTCTGCGCCTTTTAGTGGGGGTTGAAAGTGCATAGAGAAGGAGCCTTTTGCTTCCTTTCTCATCCTTCTGTGGATCACTTAACTTCGGGAGGGAGAAAAATTAGAAGATTCTTGTGAACAAGTGTATGTGAATTTTAATTTTGGGTGTAGAATCCAGCATCTTGAGAATCTTTTGTTTCCTTTCAAAAGAGAAAATGTCTTGGGCTTACATCACTGCTAATAGGCTCAGGAGTCCATGGGGCCATTTTTGTGAAATTTTAAAAAGTGGAATGGCGGGGAAGGTGACCAGTCTTTTGCAAGCCTGGCGTCGGCCATTTTCCACTTCAAACCTCACTAGCTGGCTGAATCTTTGTGAATTGTATTCATGTAAATTTGGAGAATCAGTACAGTTTGCAGAATTGTGCTGAAGTTGGATTGTATTAGTTCTCAAAGATCATTTTATCATTTTGTTATCTCCCCCCCCCCAGCTTTGAAACCTGGTTCGACATTACCAGTATTTCCGAAATTGCCGAAGATATTGTTGCTCAGGAAAAAGAACAGAACATCCTGCACATGCTGCACCAGGTCTTACTACTTATTGTTGCTTAAAATGTAGCTTTCCCTCCCCTCTCACTATAGGATTCTGCTTGCCCTTGTATTTTAGTGGACTGCAGTCTAATGAATACACAAATACAGGCTGTCATGAATGTATCCAGTCTAAGCATACCTTTCTAGTCCTGGCATACATATTCACGTAAACCTTGGTAAATGGCATATTTCCTCAAGGATTGAGTGGGGCATGGTTCTGTTTTAAATCGTATCACTTTTGTAACTAGCATCTGATTATTTCTTGTTTTTAAGTTGGGAGTCAGCAATGGGTGGGATAACCTTTCCCAATAGCACTGGTTGCTTTGAAAAATGGACAATAGTTTGTAGCTTCAAATAGCGAAGGTTTCATCTTGCATGTGTACAAATAGCTTTTAGCTGCCTTTGGGTTGCGAGGTGCTATAATGGCTGAAATCCTGTTGTGCAGTAACTCAAGAAGTGCAACGTAACAGTGAATTGCAATAAGTTAAGAAATCTGCACAGGCATTAGACACACCCAAGTTGTGTGACTGAAGATGCAACAGATAATGCCTAATAACTTACAGTAATTTATCATGGAAAGTTATGACTTGTGTATAACTGTGCCACAGGATTTCAGCCAGTGTGAGCTATTGAGCCACAACAATTATTTCACGGCAATAATTGACTATAGTGGAAGTTAGCAAGTAGTTAATCTTACCTTTAGGTTTTTAAAAAAAGTTGTTGGGGCTTTTCAGAAGTGAAAACACATTGCCATTCAGAAGTATATTTGTGTACTCAAGTGTTATATGTAAGCCATGTTTCCTATTTCATTTAAATGTGAATTAAAACTACATTTAAAGTTTTTTTTAAATTATTAAATTTTAGATTTTGACACCTTTCTTACTGAGAAGACTGAAATCTGATGTAGCTCTGGAAGTTCCTCCCAAGCGTGAAGTTGTGGTCTATGCTCCACTTGTAAAGAAACAAGAAATCTTCTACAGTGCTATTGTAAATAAGACAATTCGGAAGCTACTGGGAAACAACCAGGTACTTGTTAAGGGTATCCTGAACAGCCTTGATTTGGCTTCAGACAAGCATGTTACTGTTTCCTAATCCACAGATGGGATACACTATTTCTGAATGTATCTGTACAAGATAACTAACTAGTGTGTGTTTGTGTGTGGCAATGCCTCACGAATGCCTAGGTTCTCAAAAGTATAAAATAATCTTCCCTGTGATGGTTGTGAGTGTCTTGTTGTGCAAGATGTGAAAGGTCTTCAGACCCTCATCCCATAGGGCAGCATTTATGCTCCCTTTTTGTTGAAAATGATGTACAGTGGGGTCTCGACCTACGGAATTAATCCGTATTGGAACGGAGTCCATAGGTCGAAAAGTCCATAGGTTGAAAATGCATTCCCCATAGGGAATGCATTGAAAACAAATTAATCCGTAATCCGCCCAAGAAACGCCCACACACACACAAAATTAAAAATAAATTTAAAAAACACCTTTTTGACGTCTTCAAGGGGTCCCCTGCTGCCGCCATCGCTGCTGCTGGAGGGCTTCGGCGCGGCTGCGAGAGGCCTCTCAGAACTCCCCCACCGCAGCCATCAACACTGCCGGAGGACTCTGAGGGCTTCGATGCCGCTGCTGGAGGCCTCTCAGAGGTTCCAAGAGGCCTCCCATAGTGGCGGGGAAGGCCTTTGGAGGTTCCTGTGCTGCCGC